CTTCACTGGATTATTTGTTTTTCAGGTGTGGAGTTTGGTGAGTTCTTTATAGATTTTGGATACTAGCCCTTTGTCTGATCTGTCATTTGCAAATATCTTTTCCCATTCCGTCGGTTACCTTTTAGTTTTGTTGGTTGTTTCCTTTGCTGTGCAGAAGCTTTTTATCTTCATAAGGTCCCAGTAATTCACTTTTGCTTTTAATTCCCTTGCCTTTGGGGATGTGTCGAGTAAGAGATTGCTACGGCTGAGGTCAGAGAGGTCTTTTCCTGCTTTCTCCTCTAAGGTTTTGATGGTTTCCTGTCTCACATTCAGGTCCTTTATCCATTTTGAGTTTATTTTTGTGAATGGTGTGAGAAAGTGGTCTAGTTTCAACCTTCTGCATGTTGCTGTCCAGTTCTCCCAGCACCATTTGTTAAAGAGACTGTCTTTTTTCCATTGGATGTTCTTTCCTGCTTTGTCAAAGATGAGTTGGCCATATGTTTGTGGGTCTAGTTCTGGGGTTTCTATTGTATTCCATTGGTCTATGTGTCTGTTTTTGTGCCAATACCATGCTGTCTTGATGATGACAGCTTTGTAGTAGAGGCTAAAGTCTGGGATTGTGATGCCTCCTGCTTTGGTCTTCTTCTTCAAAATTACTTTGGCTATTCGGGGCCTTTTGTGGTTCCATATGAATTTTAGGATTGCTTGTTCTAGTTTCGAGAAGAATGCTGGTGCAATTTTGATTGGGATTGCATTGAATGTGTAGATAGCTTTGGGTAGTATTGACATTTTGACAATATTTATTCTTCCAATCCATGAGCAGGGAATGTCTTTCCATTTCTTTAAATCTTCTTCAATTACCTTCATAAGCTTTCTATAGTTTTCAGCATACAGATCCTTTACATCTTTGGTTAGATTTATTCCTAGGTATTTTATGCTTCTTGGTGCAATTGTGAATGGGATCAGTTTCTTTATTTGTCTTTCTGTTGCTTCATTGTTAGTGTATAAGAATGCAACTGATTTCTGTACATTGATTTTGTATCCTGCAACTTTGCTGAATTCATGTATCAGTTCTAGCAGACTTTTGGTGGAGTCTGTCGGATTTTCCATGTATAATATCATGTCATCTGCAAAAAGCGAAAGCTTGACTTCATCTTTGCCAATTTTGATGCCTTTGATTTCCTTTTGTTGTCTGATTGCTGATGCTAGAACTTCCAGCACTATGTTAAACAACAGCGGTGAGAGTGGGCATCCCTGTCGTGTTCCTGATCTCAGGGAAAAAGCTCTCAGTTTTTCCCCGTTGAGGATGATGTTAGCTGTGGGCTTTTCATAAATGGCTTTTATGATCTTTAAGTATGTTCCTTCTATCCCGACTTTCTCAAGGGTTTTTATTAAGAAAGGGTGCTGGATTTTGTCAAAGGCCTTTTCTGCATCGATTGACAGGATCATATGGTTTTTCTCTTTTTTTTTTTGTTAATGTTATGTATCACGATGATTGATTTGCGAATGTTGAACCAGCCCTGCATCCCAGGAATGAATCCCACTTGATCATGGTGAATAATTCTTTTTATATGCCGTTGAATTCGATTTGCTAGTATCTTATTGAGAATTTTTGCATCCATATTCATCAGGGATATTGGCCTGTAGTTCTCTTTCTTTACTGGGTCTCTGTCTGGTTTAGGAATCAAAGTAATACTGGCTTCATAGAATGAGTCTGGAAGTTTTCCTTCCCTTTCTATTTCTTGGAATAGCTTGAGAAGGATAGGTATTATCTCTGCTTTAAACGTCTGGTAGAACTCCCCTGGGAAGCCATCTGGTCCTGGACTCTTATTTGTTGGGAGATTTTTGATAACCGATTCAATTTCTTCGCTGGTGATGGGTCTGTTCAAGCTTTCTATTTCCTCCTGATTGAGTTTTGGAAGAGTGTGGGTGTTCAGGAATTTGTCCATTTCTTCCAGGTTGTCCAATTTGTTGGCATATAATTTTTCATAGTATTCCCTGATAATTGTTTGTATCTCTGAGGGATTGGTTGTAATAATTCTATTTTCATTCATGATTTTATCTATTTGGGTCATCTCCCTTTTCTTTTTGAGAAGCCTGGCTAGAGGTTTGTCAATTTTGTTTATTTCTTCAAAAAACCAACTCTTGGTTTCGTTGATCTGCTCTACAGTTTTTTTAGATTCTATATTGTTTATTTCTGCTCTGATCTTTATTATTTCTCTTCTTCTGCTGGGTTTAGGCTGCCTTTGCTGTTCTGCTTCTAGTTCCTTTAGGTGTGCTGTTAGATTTTGTATTTGGGATTTTTCTTGTTTCTTGAGATAGGCCTGGATTGCAATGTATTTTCCTCTTAGGACTGCCTTCCCTGCGTCCCAGAGCGTTTGGATTGTTGTATTTTCATTCTCGTTTGTTTCCATATATTTTTAAATTTCTTCTCTAATTGCCTGGTTGACCCACTCATTCGTTAGTAGGGTGTTCTTTAACCTCCATGCTTTGGGAGGTTTTCCAGACTTTTTTCTGTGGTTGATTTCAAGCTTCATAGCATTGTGGTCTGAAAGTATGCATGGTATGATTTCAATTCTTGTAAACTTATGAAGGGCTGTTTTGTGACCCAGTATATGATCAATCTTGGAGAATGTTCCATGTGCACTCGAGAAGAAAGTATATTCTGTTGCTTTGGGATGCAGAGTTCTAAATATATCTGTCAAGTCCATCTGATCCAATGTCTCATTCAGGGCCCTTGTTTCTTTATTGACCGTGTGTCTAGATGATCTATCCATTTCTGTAAGTGGGGTGTTAAAGTCCCCTGCAATTACCACATTCTTATCAATAAGGTTGCTTATGTTTATGAGTAATTGTTTTATATATTTGGGCGCTCCAGTATTCGGCGCATAGACATTTATAATTGTTAGCTCTTCCTGATGGATAGACCCTGTCACTATTATATAATGTCCTTCTTCATCTCTTGTTACAGCCTTTAATTTAAAGTCTAGTTTGTCTGATCTAAGTATGGCTACTCCAGCTTTCTTTTGGCTTCCAGTAGCATGATAAATAGTTCTCCATCCCCTCACTCTCAATCTAAAGGTGTCCTCAGGTCTAAAATGAGTCTCTTGTAGACAGCAAATAGATGGGTCTTGTTTTTTTATCCATTCTGATACCCTATGTCTTTTGGTTGGCGCATTTAATCCATTTACATTCAGTGTTATTATAGAAAGATATGGGTTTAGAGTCATTGTGATGTCTGTATGTTTTATGCTTGTAGTGATGTCTCTGATACTTTGTCTCACAGGGTCCCCCTTAGGATCTCTTGTAGGGCTGGTTTAGTGGTGACAAATTCCTTCAGTTTTTGTTTGTTTGGGAAGACCTTTATCTCTCCTTCTATTCTAAATGACAGGCTTGCTGGATAAAGGATTCTCGGCTGCATATTTTTTCTGTCTAGCACACTGAAAATCTCGTGCCAACTCTTTCTGGCCTGCCAAGTTTCAAAAGAGAGATCAGTCACGAGTCTTATAGGTCTCCCTTTATATTGGAGGGCACGTTTACCCCTTGCTGCTTTCAGAATTTTCTCTTTATCCTTGTATTTTGCCAGTTTCACTATGATATGTCATGCAGAAGATCGATTCAAGTTACGTCTGAAGGGAGTTCTCTGTGCCTCTTGGATTTCAATGCCTTTTTCCTTCCCCACTTCAGGGAAGTTCTCAGCTATTATTTCTTCAAGTACCCCTTCAGCACCTTTCCCTCTCTCTTCCTCCTCTGGGATACCAATTATGCGTAGATTATTTCTTTTTAGTGTATCACTTAGTTCTCTAATTTTCCCCTCATACTCCTGGATTTTTTTATGTCTCTTTTTCTCAGCTTCCTCTTTTTCCATAACTTTATCTTCTAGTTCACCTATTCTCTCCTCTGCCTCTTCAATCCGAGCCGTGGTGGTTTCCATTTTGTTATGCATTTCGTTTAAAGCGTTTTTCAGCTCCTCGTGACTGTTCCTTAGTCCCTTGATCTCTGTAGCAAGAGATTCTCTGCTGTCAGCTATACTGTTTTCAAGCCCAGCGATTAATTTTATGACTATTATTCTAAATTCACTTTCTGTTATATTTTTTAAATCCTTTTTGATCAGCTCATTAGCTGTTGTTATTTCCTGGAGGTTCTTCTGAGGGGAATTCTTCCGCTTGGCCATTTTGGATAGTCCCTGGCATGGTGAGGACCTGCAGGGCCCTTCCCCTGTGCTGTGGTGTATAACTGGAGTTGGTGGGCGGAGCCGCAGTCAGACCTGATGTCTGCCCCCAGCCCACCGCTGTGTCCACAGTCAGACTAGTGTGTGCCTTCTCTTCCCCTCTCCTAGGGGCGGGATTCACTGTGGGGTGGCGTGGCCTGTCTGGGCTACTTGCACACTGCCAGGCTTGTGATGCTGGGGATCTGGCGTATTAGCTGGGGTGGGTAGGCAAGGTGCACAGGGGCAGGAGGGGCAGGCTTAGCTTGCTTCTCCTTAGGTGATCCACTTCAGGAGGGGCCCTGTGGCAGCAGGAGGGAGTCAGATCCGCTGCCGGAGGTTTGGTTCCGCAGAAGCGCAGAGTTGGGTGTTTGCGCGGAGCGAGCAAGTTCCCTGGCAGGAACTGGTTCTCTTTGGGATTTTGGCTGGGGGATGGGCGGGGGAGATGGCGCTGGCGAGCGCCTTTGTTCCCCACCAAACTGAGCTCTGTCGTCCGGGGGCTCAGCAGCTCTCCTTCCCTTTGTCCTCCAGCCTTCCCGCTTTCTGAGCAGAGCTGTTAACTTATGACCTCCCAGATGCTAAATCGCGCTTGCTGTCAGAACACAGTCCGTCAGGCCCCTCCGCTTTTTGCAAGCCAGACTTGGGGGCTCTGCTTGGCCGGCGAGCCGCCCCTCCGCCCCGGCTCCCTCCCGCCAGTCCATGGAGCGTGCACCGCCTCACCGCCCTTCCTACCCTCTTCCGTGGGCCTCTCGTCTGCGCTTGGCTCCGGCGACTCCGTTCTGCTAATCCTCTGGCGGTTTTCTGGGTTATTTAGGCAGGTGTAGGTGGAATCTAAGTGATCAGCAGGACGCGCGGTGAGCCCAGCGTCCTCCTACGCCGCCATCTTCCCTCTCCTCAGTTGGGATTTTCTACATCAGATGAAGTAATGTACCAGCTTCCAAGGTAGGAAGAATTTGAGGTTCATCTACAGAGATGATAAAGACCACAAAAAGCAGTGCCCTCGTTACAAACGGATCTGTTACAAGTACACACAGATTCCTAACCCATTTCACATATGGATTTACCGAAAAAGTACACCTGAGACTTGGGGATGTTACTGCCAGCAGCCACTCTGGAGTTTGAAGTGAACATCTGGAAGTCCCTTGAAGGTCTTTCCTCAACAAATTTTTCTCCCTTTTAAATGTGTGAGGATCCCGTCGCTAACTTTTTTGCCTTATTTATTTATTTATTTATTTAAGTAGGCTTCACGCCCAGCACAGAGCCCAGTGTGGGGCTTGAACTCATGCCCCTGAGATTAAGACCTGAGTTGAGATTAAGAGAGTTGGATACTTAATGACTGAGCCACCCAGGTGTCCCTCCTTTTTCTCATGCTAGCTACCCTTCCTGGCACATTTCACACATAGCAATGGCTTCAGCATCCATGTTTATGCCAATGACTCAAACTGTTACCTTCAACCTTTCTCTTGAGTACCAATCCTATACTTTCAATTGCTGACTGAGCACTTTCTCATGCCCCATAGCACCTTAAATTTCCAAAATGATCCCATGATCTTCATTCTAACTGTGCATCAGTTAATGGCATCCCCCTTACTCCTGAACTATCCAAATTGACTCAACAAATACATAGCCATTCGTAGGTCCAGGATACTCTAAAAATGGCTCCCACACTGTGAACAATTGCTGCAGGGGTTTCTCCAGTCTCCAAAACTTCTATCTTCAACTTACAGACCATTCCATTCAAATATAGATCAACATCATCCCACTGTCCAGGTCTAAATGAGAAATTTTGAATGTCAGGATCTACTGACCACTAGGAAAAGTCAATGGGTTTTGTGATTTTGAATTATGTGCAAAATTCCATGAATGTAGGTAAATTCATTTTTTTTAGTTCTTGGATTTCATCAGGTCATCAGAACAGATCACGATCCAATAAATGTTGACAGCCCCAGGATATTTTCTTCCAGAGGTCCTCTACTTCCCAGTCTTCCTTCATCCCCTTGCAGATGCCCCACTCCTATACCTAAGTCTGGTTTCTATGCAGACCCCTGGATTTCCTGATGGTCCGGAAAGGGTAGGAAGATATTCTCTGAAGCCCCTGTTGTGGAAGTACTTGGTTGCTTTTCCTCGAAGACCTTGTCCAGAAAGGCAGGTTGACACAGTCCCCATAGCCAAGTTTTGCACCCCAGAAGCAATCGATTCCCTATCACCTCACCTGATACCCCAGAAACAAGCTTGGAGCCTGTGGGAACAGCCTCCCAGAATTGCTCCCAGTTGCAGGTTGTCCTTGCAAAGATGCAGGGACTTCCAAAGATACAGATGTCGCTGCTAGTCAATTATTGCCCTCAGAGCTCAGAATCTAAGTGCTTTTCTTCCCTCAGCCCTTGGAAATGTTCACCAGTGCCCCAGAAACATTAGGAACCTTTAGGCTGTGGTCATTCTTCTACTGAATCCTTCTGAGCCTGTTTATCTTTTACTCCTGCTATGATTCATGACCGGACCATATCCTAAAGGATCCTTGTCCATCATTCAACTTTAGATCTTATCCTTTTGCCCACGGAGAGAAGTGTTTTCTGAAGTGTTCTTCATAGGCTAAAGAACATTCCACATGCACACATCAGCATCACAAACACCTACTCATATATTCATACACATGCTCTTATATACCACTGAGGCTTCACAATCCATCTGTGGCTCATGGATTCAGCAAATAAACCCACTGCTCCAAACAAATCATTGATTCCTGCTTTTGAAAGATGTCAGTTTTTACATACATACACATGGACACCCTGATGATCTTCATAAAGAAAAGTAATGAAGATCAATGATCTGCTGGGAATCCTTGGTCACCGTGCAGTCATCGTCTAGGACCATTACCAGCTCCTGTGAGAATAAGCCTCCAAGGCCTTCTTTACAGAGAGTACCATTCTTCGTGAAATTAGATGTTTGGGATACCTTTTACTTCATCTTCATCCAGGGAGTGGAAGATAAACTTTCAGATATGTCTTTATTGGTGTGAGTTCACCATGATGTCCTCTGGATTCTGCAATACTCCAACCAATGTCCTTACATGATTGACAGCATTTTCAGCGACCTTGTGGATGTGTTTATAAAACATGCTAATATACTTACCTACGCTGACATCCCACGGACCCTCAAGCTGCACATAATTACCTATTTTGGAAGCGCCTCCAGCTCAATTGCAGCAGAATTTAAGAAATTCAAGGTAGAGATTCTGGGCATACTGTAATTAGCCATGCAGCCTCCGTGTTTATTCATTTACTTTTGCTGCTGTAACAAATTACCACAAATTTAGTGCCTCAGAGCAACACAAACTTATTATCTTCTGGCTCTGGAAGTTAGATGTTCTATAGTCAAGATATCAGCAGAGTTGCATTCCTTCCAGACGCTCTAGGAAAGAATCTGTTTCCTTGCCATTTTCACTTCTACAGGCCACCTATATCCCTCAGCTCATGGTCTCTTCCTTCATCTTCAAAGTACAACTGACCCTTAAACAACATGGGGGTCAGGGGCAGTGTGGCCTCACGCCCAATCAAAAATCCATGTGTAAGTTTGACTCCCCCCAGACTTAACTACTGACACCATCCTACTGACAGTAGAAGAATACATATGTTATATGTATTATATATTGTCTTCTTACAATAAAGTAAGCTACAGAAAAGAAAATGTTATTAATGAAATTATAAAAGAAAATCTAGAGTACTGTACTATAAAAAGTCTTCACATAAGTGGACCTGTGCAGTTCAAACCTGTGTTGTTCAATGGTCAACTGTAAATCATTCTAACCTCTGCTTCTATCTTCTCATCTCCTCTAACTTTGATCCACCTGTCTTCCTCTTCTAAAGACCTTCATGATTACATTGGATACACCCAGACAATCTAGGATAATCTCATTTCAAAATTCTTAATTTAATCACATCTGCAAAGTCCCTTTGCCACAATAGATAACATGTTCACAGATTCTGGGGCTTTGGGGACAGGACATCTTTTGGGGGCCATTATTCTGCCTGTCACAGTGAACAAGGTAACAGTCTTTTTAGGATTTAAGTTTCCCTTCTTCCTGTTAATAAATGTGTTAAGTACTCCTTGGGTTCACCAGTTGCTACCAGCAGCTCATTCTCTAGTTTCCCACCCAGACATCTGCAATTGCTTCCTTTCAGAAAGGAATACGAGTTTTCTTATAGAGAATGAGGTAGTGTTTCAGCATGTTTCTCTCTGCCTTAATTAAAACTTGCTCTCACTAGACTCTTTTGTGAATCACTCACAGGTGAATCTGAGTCTCCCCTCTTACAAATGCTAACCTGGATAAAAATTCATTATCTGATTTAAGTGTGTGGGTTCAGTGTGCTGGACATGCTGTTTGAGAACAGTAAGTGGGTTGGTCTGGCTGCAGCAGAGTGAGAAAGAGGGACGCATATACCACATTTCATTTATCTGTTAAGAAGTTGATGGACCTATTTTTCTACTTTTTGAGTACTATGAGTATGCTTCTCTGAACATTCATGTAAACGTTTTTGTGTGGGGGTGCCTGGGTGGCTCTGTCTGCTGGGCCTCTGAATCTTGATTTCAGCTCAAGCCATGATCTCACAGTTCACATCGGGCTCTGCACTGACAGGATAGAGCCTCCTAGGGATTCTCTTTCTCCATTTCTCTCTGCCCCTCCCCAGCTCATGCACACGCATGCCTGTTCTCTCTCTCTCTCTCTCTCTCCTCACCTCCCTCTCTCTCTCTCAAAATAAATAAACTTAAAAAAAAGTTTGTGTCATATGTGGATCCTGAGAAACTTAACAGAAGACCATGGGGGAGGGGAAGGGGGAAAAAAGTTACAGAGAGGGAGGGAGGCAAACCATAAGAGACTCTTAAATACTGAGAAAAAACTGAGGGTTGACGGGGGTGGGGGCGGGGGGGGAGAGGGGAAAGTGGGTGATGGGCATTGAGGAGCGCACCTGTTGGGATGAGCACTGGGTGTTGTATGGAAACCAATTTGACAATAAATTATATTTAATATAAAACAAAAACAAAAACAAATAAAAGTTTGTGTGTGCACATGTTTTCATTTTTCTTTCTTTTTCTTATAGTATTATATTAGTTTTAGGTGGACAATATAGTGAATCAACAATTCTATATGTTACTCAGTGCTCCTCACAATGTTTTCATTTTTCTAGATGTATACCTGGAGTGGAATTGCTAGGTCATGTGGTAACTCTATGTTTACCCTTTCAAATCTTTTTTAAGACTGCCAGATTGTTTTAGAAAACAGCTGTACTATTTTATATTCCCATCAGCATTGCATGAGCATTCCAATTTCTTCACATCCTTACCAACATTTATTATTATCTGTCTTTTTTATGGTAACCATCCTAGCACGTGTGAAGTAGTATCTCATTGTGGTTTTGATTTGCACTTTTTTGTGTTTATTTATTTTTGAGAGAGAGAGAGAGAGAGAGAAAGGGAGAGAGAGGGAGCGAGAGAGAGAGAAAATGCACGGGGAGAGTGGGGGACAGAGAGGATCCGAAGCAGGTTCTGCACTGACAGTGGATAGCCCAACGCGGGGCTTGAACTCACCAACTGTGAGACCATGACCTGAGCTGAAGTTGGATGCTTAAATGACTGAGCCACCCAGGCACCCCTGTTTTGCACTTATTTAATGTCTGATGATGTTGAGCATCATTTCATGTGCTGATTGGCCATTTATATATCTTCTTTGGAGAAATGTCAATTCAGATCCTTTTCCCAGTTTAAAATAGTGTTATCTTTTTATTGCAGATTTGTAAGAGTTTTCATGTTTTCTAAATATAATTTCCCTTATCAGATACATGTTTGCAAATATTTTTTCACATTCTATGGATTACTTTTTCTTTTTAAAAATTTTTTAAAATTTTAATTCCAGTTAATTAACATACAATATTATATTTGTTTCAAGTGTGCAGGATTACTTTTTCAGTTTCTTGATGGTTTCCTTTGAAACACAAAACTTTTTCATTTTAATGAGATCCAAGTAATGTAATTTTTCTTCCATCATGTGCTTTTGTTATCACATCTAAGAAAGTTTTGCCTAACCCAAAGCCACAAAGATTTATTCCTATATTTTCTCTAAGTCTTTTATAATTTTTGCTCTCACAGTTTTTTAAGTTTATTTATTTATTTTAGAGAGAGAGAGAGAGAGAGGCAGAGAAAGGGAGAGACAGAATCCCTAGCAAGCTCAAATCTGTCAGCCTGCCGTGGGGCTCAAGCTCATGAACCATGAGATCCTGACAAGTGGAGATCAAGAGTTGGACCTTAGCCAACTGAGCCATCCAGGCACACTTTTGCCCTTACATTTAGATCAAAATGGATCTATGGTCCATTTTGAGTTAAATTTTTTGTGTGGTATAAGGTATGAATCTAACTTCATTCTTTTACATGTGGATATTCAGTTGTCCCAGCAGCAGTTGTTGAAAACACTATTTATTCCCCATTAAATTGTCTTTCACTCTTATTGAAAATCAACCGTGTAAGAGTTTCTGTATACATGTTCAATGCTATTTCATTGATCTATATGTCTCTCCTTCTGCCAGTATTATACTGCCTTTGTTGTAGCTTTATATAGCAAGTTTTGAAATAAAAGTGTTAAGTCCTCCAACTTTATTCTTATTTTTCAACATTTAGCTACTGAGTCCCTTGCATTTCCCTATTAGTTTTAAGATTGGTTTATCAACTTCCAAAAAAAACTCAGGTGGGGTTTTAATAGGAATCACGTTGACTCTGTAGATCAATTTGGGATGTACTACCATCTTAACCATTTAAATCTCCCGATACATGAATATGGGATATATTTCCATTTATTTAGCCTTCTTTAATATCTTTTGATGTTTGCAGTTTTCTAAGTGTACGTCTTGTACTTCTTTGTTCTTTCTTAATATATGCATTTACATCAATCAATTTCCCTCTGTTATTGCTTTTGCTGAATCCTATGTTTCAGTATTTTGTGTCTTCCTTTTTATTCATCTCAAGGTATTTTCTAATTGCTCTTATGATTTCTTCTTTGATTCATGTTACTTAGGAGTGTGTTGCTTAATTTCCATGTATTTGTGAATTTCTCAAATGTTTTACTGTTATTGATTCCTAATTTTGCTTTACAGTGATTGGAGAACATACTTTGTATATAATTTCAATCCTTTCAAATTTACTGAGGTGTGTTTTCTGGCCTAGAATATAATCTATCTTGGAGAATGTTTCATGTGTACATGAGAAGAATATGTATTTTCCATTATTGGGTAATATGTATTTTCCATTATTGGGCATTGTGTGCCCCTAAAATTCATATGTTGAAGCAATAACCCCCAATATGACTGTATTTGGAGGTCGGGCCTTTAAGGAGTTTAGATAAGGTTATAAGAATGAAGCTATAACCTGACTGGTGTTCTTATAACAAGAGGAAAAGACATCAGAGCTCTTTTGCTTCATGTGTACACGGAAGAAAAGCCATGTGAAAATACAGCAAGAAGGTGGGCATATACAAGCCAGAAAGAGGTGTCACCAGAAACCTAGTTTTCTGGCACCTTGATCTTGGACTTCTGGCCTCCAGAATTGTGAGAAAATTGATGTATGTTATTTAAGCCACCCAATCTGTGGTACCTTATTATGGCAACCTGAGCAAACTAATACAGGTGGAACATTTTATAGATGTCTGTTAGTTCTTGTTAGTTTATAGTGTTGTTCAAGTCTTCTATTCCCTTGTTGATCTGCCTACGTGTTCTATTCATTTTGGAAAGTGGTGTTGAAGTTTCCAATGATTGCTGTAGAATGATTTATTTCTCTCTTCCATTATATAAGTTTTGTTTTATGTATTTTGAGGTTCTGTTATTAGATACATATATGTTGTAACCTCCATTTTAATAATTTCTCAGGTCAAAAATCTTAAAGTCATTCTTTTTAAAAATTTTTTTGACTTTTATTTTAGATAAATAAACCAACTGAGCCACCCAGGTGTCCCAAAGAAAACTTTAATAGTAGTGCTTTCCTCATAGATTTATTGTGAAGTTAAATCACATAATACCTAGAAAGCACTTAGCACAGGTCCATGTGGAATAATACATCCAAAAATGTTAATAGTACTTCAAGGCCCTTCAGGAGTCTGCTTCTACCTCTTCACCTTCAAAGTAGTAAATGAGGATCTTTCAAATACACCAATCTGGGGGCACCTGGGTGGCTCAGTCAGTTAAGCATCTGACTTTGGCTCAGGTAATGATATCATGGCTCGTGGTTCAAGCTCCACGTTGGGCTCTATGCAGACAGTGCAGAGCCTGGAACCTGCTTCAGATTCTGTGTCTCCCTCTCTCTCTGCCCTCCCCCACTCATGCTCTGTCTCTCCCTGTCTCTCAAAAATAATAAATAAATGTTTTTTAAAAATACACCAATTCTTTTTACCCTTTTGTCCCTTGGCTCATGGCTCTTCACTGTCTGGGATACTTTTGCTTTCATTCTACTTTGCTTGGTAAACAACTAATTACTCTTCCTTTAATAATGAATCCATCTGAAAGCATTTCCTGAGCTGTTTAGTTGGGGATAGGTGTTCTTCTACGTGGACAGTTTGCTCTGTATCTTATATTTGTGATGTATATTTGTGGTGATGGTCCCATGGCAATGAGGGTGAACTTTTCTACTCTGCTCAGTTGACTATCATTCAGACAGACACATTAACAATTAAATATAGTAAGAAGGGAGCCAATGATAGAGAAACTCCTAGGGCATTATGGGAGCTCAGAGGAAGGACAACATCCCTTTCCTGCCATTTACAAAAACCTTAAAGAGAACTACCAAAACTGACTCACTAATTCCACATTCTGTCCACATACTGTCTTTCAAAACATGTCATTTAAGCTTTATTTCTATCAGTTCATCAAAGCACACCTTGTACAAGTCACCAATAACTTCCATATAACCAAATCCAATTACCATTTCCAAGTGCTTATCTTACTTGATTTATCTGACATAAGTAATTGTTCAGTTTTGTTTGACTATGGGACAATACTCTAGATTCTCCTCTTACAATATTGACTGATTCTTCTCTGTCTTTTTGATAGCTTCTTGCTATGGTCTGAATGGGTCCTCCTGCCCCCAATTCACATGTTGGAATCCGAACACCCAAAGTGATGAGAGCTTTTGGGAGATGAATTTCTCATGAATGGGATTAGTGCTCTTGTAAAAGACTCTCCATATGAGGCTATAAGGAGTAGTCTGTGACCTGGGAGAGGGCCCTCACCAGATCATATTGTCACCCTGATCTGGGACTTACAGCCTCCGGAGCTGTGAGGAATAAATTTCTATTGTTTATTAGCTCTCCCAATAAGTGGCATTTTGTTATAACAACCTAAAGGGACTAAGACACTTATCTTCTTGGATGTAAGTGTTGGACTGCACTGAGCTCAGTTATCAGAATCATTCCTGGGGTACCTGGCTGGCTCAGTCAGTTCAGCGTCCAACTCTTGGTTTCAAATAAAGTCATGATCTCAAGGTTTCATGAGTTTGAGCCCCAAGTCGGGCTCTGTGCTGCCAGTGCAGAGCCCGCTTGGGATTCTATCTCTCTCCCTCACTCTCTGCCTTTCCTTCACTCGCACTGTCTCTCTCTCGAAAATGAATTTTAAAAATCTTTAAAAAAAGAATCTTTTCTTTTTTTTACATTTTTATTTTATTTTTTTTTCAACGTTTATTTATTTTTGGGACAGAGAGAGACAGACAGAGCATGAACGGGCGAGGGGCAGAGAGAGAGGGAGACACAGAATCGGAAACAGGCTCCAGGCTCTGAGCCATCAGCCCAGAGCCCGACGCGGGGCTCGAACTCACGGACCGCGAGATCGTGACCTGGCTGAAGTCGGATGCTTAACCGACTGCGCCACCCAGGCGCCCCTTTTTTTTACATTTTTAAATGTTTATTTATTTTGAAGGAGAAAGAGAGTGGGGAGAAAGAGAAAGAGAGAGAGAAAATCCCAAGCAGGCTCCATGCTGTCAGCACAGAGCCTGACTCGGGGCTGGATCTCACAAACCATGGGATCATGACCTTAGCCAAAACCAAGAGTCAGACACTTAACTGACTGAGTCACCCAGGAACCCCAAAATCTTTTAATTTTCTTATGGACA